GCCTGTTCCCAGTGTGCGCATGCGCAGAGCTGCCGGAAGACAAGAACATCTCAGTAATCAGGGTCGGCTTGGGAGTAAAGCCACACCGTGGAGGTGATTGGCCCCTCCCATAGGACTCAAAAGAGGAGCAAATGGGGAGGGGGCTTCTGCAGGAAACAATCCGTTCCTTCGGTCCGTTCAAGAGTGGAAAGTTCTGTTTGTGACTCCAAGAGACTCTGTGCCAAGTTTTGCTTTGCCCTGCATTTGGGAAACTAGTTTTCTGGCAGCTCTCCAAGCGAGATAAGGTTCGTGTGGATAAACATTCCTCGGAAAGACTGTTAGCTAAGCCTGGCTGACTGTGGATGAAAGGGACTCACAGTCGTGTAAATAAAAGAGGTTTTGCATGGACCCAGACTTTGCTTCTTGCTTTCTAAGGAAGGTTTCTGGGTCAGAACAGCAAGTCGTTCATTCCCCCCCTGCAAACACTGGGTTTGCGTTAAGGGCCAACGTTGAGTAAGCCTGCCATTTTTTTTCCTGAACGAGATGATCCCGAGAGTTTTCTTCTCTTCGCAGAATCTTCTGGTCCTCCACGGGAACATTGAGCCTTTTGGTGCAGAAGAGATGGCGCGGGAAGTGAAGAAACAGTGCAAAGCAATCAAGTTATAAAAGGGTGAAGGCGTTGAATCTATGCCTTGCCCCAGCCGAGAAGATAAAGGCAGCCTCCTTGTTAATGTCTCTTAATAATTCACATTTTCTTTTTTTGGGTAAACCACTTTGAGGTGTGACTAATTGGGAAGTAGATCGCAAATGTATAGAATCTGTTAATACCTTTAAAAAAACAACAACAACACCTCGATTTGATGCTTCCAGGAACCTGGATGTTTGAGGGAATCTCTTAGCTTCTTCGCCCTGCTGAAACTTCAACTCTGCTTTTTTCCTACTCTCAATAGTAGCAGCTCATTAGGGAATTAGGGGGACTCTGCCCATGTTTATCAAATAAAATATCCCAATTTCTTCTTCTGCATTTCTTGGGTTTGCTTTGGACTTGTATCTCTTGAACCTCATCAGGACGTTGTGATGTTCTGGAAGGACTCCTGTCCACGGTGCCCGGGTGTGGATGGAGTCTAGATGATGGGCTGAAACTTGATCAGACGATCTTCAAAGCAGATGTAACTGAAACAGATCTCGGTGCTTTATGTCCAAAAGTGGGCCCTGAAGAAACAGGGATGGAGGCCTGCTGGATGAAGTGATGGGTCCATCAGGCCAAACATTAGCATCTTGAGAGCCAGGGGTGTTAAGGAAGAGGAGATGCAGCTGTGATATTGAGGAGAACGTAGTCCTTCTGGTTTCTTCATAAGGTAACAGAAAAGCAGAGTTGAGAGAGACATTGGAGGTCTTCTACTCCAACCTCCTGCTCAAGCAGGAGACCATATCTTCTTTCAAACAAACGATGGTCCCGTTTCTTCTTAAAAGGATGGAGATGTTTTTCAAGGTGCCTGAAAGCCATGAAGAGATTCCATGGTGACTATCACCACACTCCATCCCTGTCCTGGGGTCTTGGTTGATGCCATCCACTCAATGTCAGACAAGTCAATCTTCCCTTTCACAACCCAACCAGGTCATGGTTGGTCATCTCATCATGGATGATCACATCATGGATGAGGGAGGCCTTACAGGAGATGGAGGACAGAGTCATTGAAGACCTACTGATAGATGGAGATGAGACGAAGAGAAGGAGTGTGGAAGACCTCCATGGTTCCTGAAGGTGACCCTCTCCTTGTCATATCTCCTCCTGCCTGATGCCTCCATAAAGACATGGATTGCTTCTACCCACCGCCCCAAGAATAGCCCCATACCAAATGTACCAGCATACCAAAACCGAACATCAGGGCCCAGGGCTGGGTATTTCTCAACGTCTTCACGACACGTCCCTGCACGGGGAACTGGCCACCCTGCAGCCCTCTAGTGCCAACAGCTCTCAGGGCCAACAGACTATTTCACACAGACACCCATTACGACACATTCAAGTATACAAACACACACCAGCTCCCTCCCCTGTCACTACTCCCCCAGGTTCCCCTTCCACGGCTCTTGGCTCAAAGGTAGTGAATTTTCACTCTACGACTTCACATTCAGTACAAGTGAAGCTACGTTCCTCCCCTCCCCTCTTTTCTCCTCCCCTCTTCACTTACCTCCTGTTCTCCTCTCTCCTCTTTTCCTCTCCTTCTCCCCACCCTCTCCCTTCCCCTCCTTCCCTCTCCACCGCTCCCCTCTCCTCTTTTGCTCTCTTCCCACTCTCCTCCCTCTCCCCTTCCCGCCCACTCCCCTCTCCACTCCTCCTTCCCTCCCCTTTCTCTACCCTTCCACTCCTCTCCACCCCCTCTTCTTTCCCCCTTCCTCCTCCCCACCCTTCTCCCCTTCCCTCCTCCTCCCCTCTCCTCCCCTCTCCTC